TTTCTATTTTTGTCATGCACAAATCACCAAGTCAAATTCCTTGTCTGTGTACTTGGCAATGAACCATTTCTGATTAATGTTTCAGTGTAAATTTAATATGCCGGGCTGAACAGCCGTGTTCTGTCCTTTTTGTTTACCTTTTTTTTTAAGCCTCCGGGCTTCCCCTAGTAACCCGTTGCCTAACATCGCAACCCTATGAATTGTGGGTAGTTCCCTCAAGGAAGGTCATCAGAAATGCGGATTTACGGAAGGTGTGCATAAAGGGCTCAACATTTCTGCGAGAGCCCTCAAGCCCTCAACGATTTGACAGTGGGACAGCCTTAAGCCCTCACAGACTTTACATAACTATAAAGTTGTTTTGCTTACCACAAGTGCTGCTGGAGTTTTACCTCCTCTTCAAAACAACAAAATATTGTGAAATATACAAGCTAATACATTATAGAAATGTCTATAACTAAACATTAACTATGATCTAATGCTGTCCTCTCACTTTGGATTTTTGGTAAATTTGATTCCAGCTTTATTAGGCTGACCAGTCTGAGATTCATTCTCTACATAAAGTCAGACTATGTAACAGAACTGCAGTCATTCTAATGAATACATCACAACTGCCCGAAGTGGAAGAAGGAGCAGAGATCAGAGTTTGAAGAGTGACTTGAAATGAAAGTTCAGTTTATATCTGAATGAATTATCTCTGTCAAGTCACTGCTGCTGTTGAATTCACTGATGATAGTTACAATAATCACTTACTCTACTATGTTCACGTGTAATATTAATGTACAATGAACCATAGATGGAATAATTTACTTTTGACCTTCAGTACATCTACGATGCAGGCCAATAATTGCCTCTGAAAACTCTGACTGAACATTCATTAAAGCTGTTGAGACAACCCAACATAAACTATACTTGAGCTAATTAAATCTCAAAAAACATGTTCCATGAGCGTTACCCTTTTAATTTCTGAGTAATTATAACATTCAACTGGATATGAGCTGAAGTGCAAACACACGAGCTGAACATATAATTTTAAAAGCAGATGAGGAGAATCAGCAGCCTGTCACAGATGACAGATGACAGGTGGCAACAAACTTTCATGCTATATGCAGCGAAGATAGACGTTTTTATGTGACGAGCTTCATATTTGCTATCAGTGTCTCCAGGTTGCATGAATTAAGGCTTTTTAGTCTTAGATGATTTCTTTTTAATATTACACCATGACGGCAACTTGCTACACCAGATTGTTTGCATTTCACACAACTGTAAATGTAACTTTTATTTTGATACAATGTGTCAATCTGTCTTGTTCCTCTTGTCACTTTTGCTATGTTTAACAATTTAAAACTTAGTTTCAGTGGATAATTGGGTACCTAATATCAACCTCACAGATGCTGACTACTGATACAAAATCCTGACTATCTAAAGTTGACATTATTACCACCCTGCTGTCACACCCTACTTGACTACAAAACAACAAAAGTTACTTTAAAAACAAAATCGTCTATTGTGATGGTATGAAACGTTTCAGAACTTTTTTATTTACCACAAATTTCCAACACACTGATTCACCAGACAAACTGATTTCCTCTTCAGAGCAAGAAGTATTATATCCACCTAATCTATATGCATGAAAAGATGTGCCACTGGGAATGCATTGCATTCTCACCTGTCTCAGGCGATGGAGGAGAAGGAGAAAACAAATTATCACTCATTTTTAAGCAGTGCTTCTGTATCCATGGTGGGTCCTGCAGAGTTGAGGAAACTGGATAAAGCTGTCAGTCTGGAAATACAGTTGTAATAATCTTTCTCTGGCGATGTCAATGGGTTGTCAACTTGTGTGAGTTACCCTGGCAGAATGAACAAAGTGTGCGAGATGCCCGAGGAATCCTCAGCACCATGTGAAATCCTTTTGTTGAGCGGTATCAAGTCTCACACAGACATCGCTTCTTTCATGCATCTATCGTCTGCTCATCCCTGTGTTGTCATCTATGCTAAATGACAATGATAGGCCTTTTTTTGTCATATAATAGGCCTGAATTATTTATGTTCGGCCCCTGAATAGTTGGCATCAGATAGGTGGCACAAAAGGGCAACCAGGATCCAGAGAGGCACACTCGTTATAGAGGAGGGGCAGTGGTTGAATGAACTACATTGTGTTTTAGATTTTTTTCATAACCTTGTTTTTTCATCAATGGTATCAATAGCGAATAGCTGATCCAAAAACCATTAGTAAAAAAGTAAAAGTAAATTAGTTAAGACTCGCTGTACCTTTTATAATGGCTGAATTAAAGTAGGACCAAAAATGTTTAACCCTTACATACTGTCCGGGTCAAATTGGACTCGTTTTGACATTTGACAGCAGTAAAAATACCCTAAATGTCATTCTTTTAGCAAGTTCCACACACATATAGTTTCCTGTCGCTGCTTTGAATGTAGAAACTAGTTTATAATAAGCATTTTATCATGCAATGTTGTGTGTTCTAAGTGGTAAATGTTGAATTAATATTGAAAATTATGATTTCTTATGATATAGCAGTGAGGACAGCGTTTAATGGTTGCAATGATTAAACATGGTTATATTATAAATTCCAACAGTTCCAGAATGTTTATGCCATATTCAAATTCAATAAAATATATTTAAATCATTATGGCTTTAATGTTTTTATGTCTTATGTAAAACAGGACATGATAATGTGTTGTAGTAGGGTAGAAGATGTTTTTCTCCAAAAAAGAATGTTGTAAAACTTAAAAAATACACTCCCTGCTCTCTGAAACATTTATTAAGGATGAATAATTTATTAATGGGACATGGGCTATTTAGACATTCTAAATAGATCTTGAGTTTAAAATTTGGTATAGACACTTACTATGAGGGACTTCTTGGTCTGGGTCAAAATTGACCCGGACCGTACTGTAAAGGCATTAAATATGAACAGTAAGGGTTAAACCAAAATTAATCTGTTCTGTCATGTGAGAAAACTCAACCACTAGAGGATGGATTAAAAAGACAGTCCACTCATGTTCAAAATACTCAGGTGATCGGTCCAGTCATGTTCAAAATACTCAGGTGAGCGGTCCAGTCATGTTCAAAATACTCAGGTGAGCGGTCCAGTTTCAGCCCTTAGTGTTTTCAGAAATAAATCCTTTTGGTTCCTCTAGGTAACAGGCAAATAAATGATCCTCTTCCAAATGATTCTTTATCCTGCAAGAGACAATATCTCTTCCTGGGAGATTGAAAGGGTAATTAACTGCTGTATGTGGCCAACATTTACTGAAGTGTTAAACATTCTAACTCCTTCAGGAAAAATTCACTCTCCTCACTTATAAAATAATTGCAAATTATAACCTGGTAAGTACATACAATAGGACATTATGGCACAAGCATTCCCCATCAACAGGGATTCTTATCTCTTGCTGCTAAACAATCAGTTACCAGCCAAAGAGTGCAGCTTTGGCTTGTGAAAGCTGCGAGCAGAGTGCTTTAGTTTAGCTATGGCATGGTCGAGGTTGACAGCCATGGGAGCGCAATGTGTTTTTTTGGTCCCACCCCATAAGAGTGGTTGTTTGGGCGATGTGCACATCGTTGTGGGAGCCCCGGCTGCACTTTGCAGATACACAAGCCTGTGCTTTAATGCCCAGACCCATCAAAATGGCCCTGTCAGGCTGCTATCTCCTGGGACTCGCTGCTGCAGTACAAGGGGATTAAAGCTTTTCATGAAGCATTTTCACAGTCGAAGGTGTGTGCAATAGCAGCCTGTGTGCCATTTTTCATAACAAGGGTGGATTTAACTTAGCTGGACGCTTAAAACTGGAACTGTGTGGTATGGAATTGAGCATCCAATTTGGACCACTAATTGGACTACAAAGGGGAAGAGGTTTTGGCAGTTTTTTAACCAACAGCAAGAAAAATTAAAAAAAGCAATCCCCCTCTTCTAGCACACTGTTCAAAATCCAGTTAATTGTGCTCACATAGAAGTGTGGTAAACTGGGCCAAAATGTATTACATTTCCATGGATGGTGAAGTGAACGTTACAATGAAAACTGTTATTGTTTATTTTTGCTTGAGGTACAGCATTCAGGTTGATGCAAGAGCTGGGAGTCTTGGGGGAATATCAAAAGGAACATGTGTATTCATTAAATCCTTTGATGTAAAAGGTTGCAAATTATAGTAGAGTTATAGTAGATGTTTTTACACTTATATACTTAAGTTTATTCTCAGTATTATTATTCTATATTTCAAAGATGAAATCCTGAAGCAGAGACCAGTCTGGAAACGAGCTGTAACAGCTTTTTCAAATGTAGCACACAATCTGTGACAATTAACAATCCCTTTGGACCATGTGTGATAAATTGCTTGTAGGAGAGGCCCATTTGTTACAGTCTTATCTTCAAGGCTGCTGTTAAGAAGACTGAATTATCCAGCATCAGTCAGCACTTGAAATTAGTGGAAAACAAACAGATAAGGGCTTCAGATTTGAGCTATACTAGACTGGGGTACATTTGCATGAAGCCTACCCTATGAAATGCTTGGGTTTTTGGTGTCCAATCACAGTCTAATCAAAAGATTCACATTCATCCCCAGCTAAATATTTATCTCTAAGACATATTGTAATATCATACACTTTGTGGCGTGATGGGGAAAAAAATACATGAATGTAAATTAACGTTTTGCACATTTTGGATACATACTAAAACATTCCAAAGTAAGTATTTTATGAACAATATTAATTATTACATAAATTAATTAATACATTCCTTCAAAATGTCAAACATTTCTGACTTTTAAATGTCCCTCAAAAGATGTACTGCAATACCACGTGGCTATATAATCCCCAGTAAACTAATAAATGGTTGACGGTCCAACAACTACTGTAGTAATGGTGCTGATATGTATAGTATCTGTGTGCAAACTCTGCCATCCAGTGGCTGACTGTATGAACCTCAGTTACGAGATGGATTATAACAAATCCCGGAACTGAAGTGTTTGTTCCTACCCGAGATACAAAACATGGTGCACCCTTCATTGCCAGTGTTTTGGAATTTTCGTCACTTGGCTGTTGGTCCCCGTCTTTAGCAAGTATGACTCTTTTATCTTTTATCTTACGAAGGGCGTTACATTCATGCTACACAGCATACGGAGTGTGGGTTAAATGTTTTGTTCAGCCCTTCGGTGTATCGACATTTCACAATGCTGAAGTGACAGTTTGGTGCTTGCTAGTTACAGCCTCGTTAGCGTTAGCTTGCCTTGAGATGCTAACTGACGAATGATGTTTTCCTCGGTATTAAACCATGGATGCATACTGACTATAACTGTGATATAGCGACATTGTGTTGGTGTGTAAATGACCCGCTCAGTTAGCGATAGTAGCAAATATTGTGATGAAATTATGGTTAGCGTTGGCTTTTGTGTTATCTTAACGTTAACTTTCGTTCTGTAATGCTCTACTGCACATAATGTAAAGGTTCATACCCCGAAAAACACCCCGAGCCACTCTTCAGTTTGGCATACGTCTTACCCAACAAGTAGAGAAATATAAACTTATATAAACTAATATTGTGTGATTTCTTAAAGCAAGCAATATGGGAGTATAGTTCACACCACCAGGTGGAGCATAACTATGCTTCTACCAGACTTAAATTGAAAATGTAATGTCCATTTCTGGTTTATACTACTTATATTTGGTATAACTGTAACTACATAATCTGTTTCAAGCTCTCTCGTTCGTCTCCTCATTCTCCTTCCTCTGTTCACTACATCTTTATCCAGCCAATGGACTGACATCAGCCGGTGGAGATGCTGCTTAAAGATCTTCCCAGAGAGGCCCTGATGCGGCCGCTGTCCAGGAATGAGGTGGTGGGCATGTTGTTGAGGTTGACCATCTTTGGTGCAGCGACCTACTACAGCATCAAATGGGTTTTAGACGCTATGGACCCTACCTCCAAACAGAAAAGTCAAGCCAAGAAAAGGGTATATAATGAACATAAGCACATAACATAAGCCGGCCATTGTTTTACAGTATGTAAGATGTTGTAGGTAGATATTTTCCTAGGGTCTGTTATCTTTTTGTGTCTTGAGCTGGGGTGTGTGTCTCCTCTCTACAGGCAGAACAACTGATGAAGAGGATTGGTGTTGAGGGCGTTCAACTAACAGATTATGAGCTGAACATTGCATCTCAACTTGTTGATCCCCAAACTATGAAGGTAACCACAGTAGTCCTCAATTGACAATTGAGATTATCACGTGTCATGATATTTCTACCCTTTTTCATTATTACTCTACCTTCCTGCAGGTGACCTGGAGAGATATAGCAGGTCTGGATGAGGTTGTCAATGAGCTGCAGGACACAGTCATCCTGCCCTTTCAAAAAAGACACCTTCTGACTGGATCCAAACTCTTTCAGCCCCCTAAAGGTACCACAGCTGTCATTTAATCAGAACTGTAATGGTAAAATGTTACTCATAATCTTCAATGTACGTACATACTAACATTAGAGGACAAAATAGAAAGTGTGATGTACTAATAGATTGGAAACTGCACATAGACATCTGGCATTAATTCATCTTTAGTGCTTTTATAAAGTATTTGCACAACGAAACGTTTTTTTTTGTAGTTGTTTGACTTCTTTCAAAAAAAAATTTTTGAAGGATGGTAACCTACATTAGGTCAACTGTGGAGGAATTTTATCTCTTTTTACACAATTTATTGAATGATAGAGAGAGGAGCAGTAAGAAGGGGACATTTGATACTACATGCCTCCTCCTCACAAAAAATACATACATGAATAATCTGCTATAGATGGTCTGTTAATGCTGCCAGCAGACAGTATATTCACATTCTGAATCTCGGTTACAATTTCTGACTGCATTCTATATCAATGCTAACAATTTGAGTTGAAGTGCATCGATACCAAACCAACATAAAACTACGTTTTAAGAACTACTTATATCAGAAGTTGTGATAAACAACATAGGTTTGTGTCTTCTCTTTCTCATTATTGTTAGAAAGCCATCCAGTGCACTATGCCTCCATCTGTGTACGCAAAAAGACGTCAGGCGAGAGTTGTACACTTGGCAGCCTGAAAGCAGACGATCACTTGGAGGAACACTTTACTTTCTTTAGAGTTTTTTTTTTTTTTTTGTTGTTTTTTTTACTGTTTGGCACAAAACTTTATACAGAGCTCGAGGATGAGTCAACCTCCAAAATTAGCTGTCATGGCAATCCAGTCTCCAGCCTTTATTTATATCATGTAATTTTTTAAAAGTACGCAGCAAGTCAGGCCAGATTTTCCATCTGTACGTGTGTTAGAGAAGACCGAGTTTGGCAAAATATCTCCAACAGTTGGCAGTAATAGGCCTATAGACAGAAACAGTCATTCCTAATCTTTGTTTATGTTTTATCCTTGCAGGTGTTTTATTGTTTGGTCCTCCGGGATGTGGGAAGACCATGATCGCCAAGGCAACAGCCAAAGCCTCAGGCTGCAAGTTCATTAACCTTCAGGCCTCCACGCTGACCGACATGTGGTACGGCGAGTCACAGAAGCTGACTGCTGCCGTTTTCTCACTGGCAAAAAAAATCCAGCCCTGCATCATCTTCATTGATGAGATTGGTATGTTTAAATACTCTATTAGTTTAATACACTGTTAGATGTGATTTATCTTTAACTCTACTCTTTCAAGAAGAGATTATTTAAAAAAGCTGACACTGATATTGTTATCATGATGTTTTTAATACAAACATTTTTGAGGGTTTCCTTCAGAATTTGATTCGTCTTTGTTTTTGCGCCTTGCTCCTTGTCTCTGGTGTGTCAGAGTCATTTCTGAGGAACCGCTCCAGCCTGGACCATGAGGCCACAGCCATGATGAAGGCCCAGTTCATGAGCCTGTGGGACGGCCTGGATACTTCCTCAACCACCCAGGTAACACGACCATACCCCCCCGTACTGTAATGTACACACCAGATTAGGTTACACTGGTATGTACTGGGTAGGATTTCTCTTGTCCCCTGTCATTGGAAAAGTATTTGAAAAGATGTGCCTGACCTTTCATGCAGGACATGGTGCCTGTTGCACACAGTGCTTGTGCTGCAGGTGGTTTTGTCAGCATAATGTATTCATGTTGATATACTTGTGATTTTAGGTGATGGTGATGGGAGCTACAAACAGGCCACAGGATATGGATCCAGCCATTTTGCGCAGGATGCCCGCCACTTTTCATGTTGGCTTGCCAGTAAGACGCGTGCACATACACCAGCACAAACGGTTGTTTTCTATCTAATGCATCTAGATGCATACATACATACAGTGTGTAATAAGTTGGTATATTGTGACTTTGTTCCTTTCCTAAATTTACCTACATTTGTATTTTTTTTATTTATGAGGGAAATTTTTGAATATAGATGAATAGAAAAACAGAATAGCTCATTTTCTCTAGGCCCCGCTGTACCACAATGTTCTATTTACTGTAGTGATTGAAATAGTGTGTTTTACTGAGTGCTCTGCGCTACACATACAGTAAAGGAGCACAGCTTAAACTGAGCTGAACTGTGTGTCTCAGACTGATTCATGGCTGCTGGCCCAGCCACAAAAAGAATGGGCTTAATATTAAATCACTTTGACCGTTTCTGATGATGAGAATGTCTTTTAACGAGTGATTAGTTGCACAGGTACTTTTGTTACTATTCATTGGTGGCACATTAACATGCTTTGAAGAGCCACTGTCTTTCTGTCTTTGCAGAATACAAGACAAAGACAGGACATCCTGAGGCTGATTTTAGCAGGAGAAAATGTAAGTTGTGATTTCTTTTCATCCGAGTCAGTCATGAAAGAAATGATTTCCTTCAAAGCTCTCTTTTGTCATTTGCAGAGATCATTTCACACCTGTGTTTTTGCTGTCAAATGACAAAGTAGATCAGATCACCCATGAATACAGCCGAAGACCAGAGACAGCTAACAGATTCATTCTACATAATTGCCTCACATTGCTGTCCTCCCTTTCTGCTCAGTTGAGCAATGCGATTAATCTGAAGGAGATTGCGGAGAAGACAGAGGGCTACTCCGGCAGTGACCTCCGGGAGCTTAGCCGCGATGCTGCCATGTACCGGTTCCGGGACTATGTCCGCAAGGAGCAAATGAGACAGATCGCTCAGCAACTACAGGACTGCCAGGAGGAAGAAAGGTATGACTCAGATATTCAAACACCTTCAAGATCTCATAACAGTACCTGCCCCTGAACAGTGGAGGTTACACCAGTGTGGGCTTTCGAAAGCTGATAGATATATTACTATGAGCGATGTATATATACTGGTACTCTCTAACTTCACATTCTATTGATATATATGTGTATAAATTAACCATTCTTTTTAGTTATCAGTAGGACAGTGAAAGTAATAGTGAGTATGATGAATGCACACTCATGGATTCTAATCATGCGCATTGGAATAATTTCAGGTTGAGGCCTGTGTTGGTTGACTTCACGAGTACTGTGTGTTATTAAATTGAAAGGTATCAGAGGTGGATCTGGTTGATTTTAAAAGCATCACACATTTCATAAGATGCTGAATATCTGATCTGTGTAACCCATGCTTCAGCTGTTGCTAAGCGACTATTGAAACCCTCTCAGAGCAAGGCGCTATAACTAAAAGAAGAAATATTTTTAACTTTTTGTTCTCGGCACTCTTAACACTTAAAGACGTCGGCCTGTTGTTTGCTTGTTCCAGGCCCAGCAGCAGGTTTATTAAAACAAAAGAGAACTGATGACGTATATAACATTTAAGTACAGCATGTAGATGTCCTGAATACCAGTGTACGATAATGTTTAGTGTGTTTCTGTGTCTGACCACTTGTCTCCTTTGCTCCAGACCTGTGGACGAGGAGCGACTGCGGCCGGTCACCCAGCTGGACCTCCTTTTCGGCCTGGACAAGATGAAGGAATCTAAGCGGGCCACCGTCTACATGTTACCCACTGTGTCAGAGGTACCGCTGGACTAAACACCAACACTGCACCGCGATGGGAAATATTTTCTTCTTGCTTTTTGTTTTAACTCGACAAGCAGAGGCTCCACCAACATGTCAGGGGTTGCAGCTGGAAAAGCCAGAAATCAGCCATACTTTTATTTATGCAGTGTTTGTTCTGAGCATGCTCACTTTCAGCACAACCCTGCCACAAGTGTACAGCTGCAATACTTTTGGAAATCTAATGTCTCCTACTGGCCACTGTGAATGCATTGTCCGTAAACGTTATGAATCCATCTGAAGTTACTGCTAGTAATCCTACAAACTACTCTTCTACACCACTGTAAGGTTCCATATACCGTCCCACCACTGACTTACACGTGATCATGAGCAAAGGGGGTTAAGCTCCATGACTCATGAGTCTGGAATCTAGACCAGTAATCTCTTGAGGTTTGCTGCTTGATTTTAAATCGACTCTTCCTGAGTTACCGCTCCCAAGGAGTACAAAATACCCCAAAAAATGTCTTGTTTTTAGTTGTGAAGTGAGCACTGCTGTATATGCTGTCAAGTCACAATAAGTCTGACAATGAAGAGGAAGACACCTTAACTTCATGTCGTCCAGAGAGCTCAGTGAAACACCTCATTTCACTGGTCCTTCTTTACATTACATTTGGGCAGAATTATTCAATTTTTAGATTCAATAAAAAATTCAAGTAATAAGTACTTGCAGCAAAGACGCCTTTCTCAGAGCTCTCAGTTAATACGTGTAAACAAAAGCAGATAACAAAGCACACATTTAGTAAACAGCCAACTAGAGATGAGGTCACCGCCGTAATAGAAACCACAGCTATAGTCACCTGAGCCATACTACTAATGGCTGTAATATTACCTGATTTTACACCTCCTCAGTCCTCAGCTATTAGCAGATATACATCATAGGAATTGTGCTGTGTGCATGATTAAGAATGTGGAAGCAAAATGCTGCAACTGAAGTTATCCAATCATTGGTCTTCAGTGTGTTTAGGGCTGCTTTGTAATGCAAAGTATTTTGCACTTCATATTTCTTCCACCCAACACAACAATGGCAGTTACTTCTGAATTTACAAATCTTTCCGGTATTTTTCAAAAAGGGTTATTTTAGTGTTTTATTAATGGTCCCATTAATATTATTCGTGAGTGTCCATTGTTTCACTTTGAACGTTTGTTCCCTACCTTGTTCCGTACATCGATCAATGTCTGTCGCCACAATACACATCAGGGCTGTTCTGTGTCAGTTACTTTTATTCTCACTTTAAGGAGAGTATGGCTTTCAAATTCAAATACGTTCAATCAGCTGTCAGTCTGCAGTTGTTGTGACATGCTTTTCTGTCTCCCTCTGTATAAAAAGCCTCATTACTCACCACATGGTCACAGCATGTGTTTCGTGGGTCTCATACAGACCTTTCTCCCACTCGGTCTGAGCGAGCAAAGCGGTCATTTCACCATGACCACGTGGTGGCACTGCAGCTTCACAGTCCTGCTGCGGAGGCAGGTGTAGCATCCTGAGAAATGGACTGCTCACATGAAGAGCACTTTTCCAGCATTGAGGTGAGATAATGAAATAAGACGACCCTGCATACTGGATTGTTTCTCCCTTATTGGTTCATTCAGTGATATTTGGACATCCATTGCTCTTCATTAGAGTATGTCCGGTGATAGTTAAAGGTCAAAATGTCTCCATGTAAACCAGTCATCTTGTTGCTGCAGCTTACAGGTTTTAGTTCCCTTTCTTTGAGGCGGCTAACACATTTCCTCAATGCAATATGACTTATCAGGTCATTTGATTATCAGCTACTGAGTTACTGTTAATTACTCTGTCAAATATGTGTATGTGTTGAATATGATATGTAAACCATGTACTGTAAAGTGTATTTATTAAATTACACCGAAGAAAATATTTCTCTTTTTTTTGCTTAACCAACATTTTACCTTGCTTATTTCAGCGTGGATTTCAACCTGTTTGTATTTGTCCTGCCCTTGTTTTAGTGTATTGAATATAATAGATCTTATCATTCCCAAAATATAAAGTTCAACATGTGTAGATTTCAAACAACATATGTTATTACATCCAAACCTATTCATTATACATTCATTTTGTATATTGGCCTATGTACCGCGATGGTTATTTTACCAATAAGTTTCTGACCAAGTGAGTAAGTGTTCGGTAAACGTTTAGGGCTCAAAAAGTGTAGCTGTGGGAGCCTGCTACTTTATTGGGATTCTGAATCATCATAAACTGTTTGTAAATTCTGCGGCTGTGCAGTCTCTTCCAATAACTTTGAACAGTTGTCAAGGATGTATCACATTTCCCCAAAAAATTATATTAACATGAAGATCTTATTTATTAGAATAGCTGCTGTCACATGAAAACCTAAAATCCTGAATGTTTAAAAGAAAAAAAAAAAAAAAAAGATCTTTTGACGTGATTTTTCAGAGCCCATATAAGTGGGTAATTCAGATTTCATGACCTCAGTGCACTTTGCCAGACATCCATTAAAAAGACCGTCATTTTAAGCTGTTTGGCTGTCAGCAAGTTCTGAAAAGTGGACTTATTAGAGATGCAAGGCTTTTGTTAGGTGCCAGCAGTGGAGCTGGAGCAAACAGCAACATAGTGGAAAGAGTAAGTGCTTGCTTATGGCCAACAATGGCTTATTAATGCATGCCTAAAGGGTACCGGCTCTGTCTAAGAATTCGTTTTTTAATTCATGCAGGAAACCTTTAAAATGAGGCTGAACAGCTAAAAAGACCAAAGTTACCATATGTTGAGGAAAATATACCCGTTGTTTTCTTTTCTCATTTATTTTGGCCATCTATAAAACATTAATAAATGTACAAAGTAGACCTTATTAAAGAGTGAAACCATTGCTGTATTTTATGTATGCAGATAGGGGTTTATTTTGGGATACACTCCTGTTTTGTGACAATACCTTTGCATTCACACCAGGGAAATACTCAGTATGACTATGATGATGACTAATCTATTCCACCTCTGTGGGCGGGAAGGCAGTATGTGTTGTGAAGGTGTGGCAGTGGGTGAAGTACACCCAAGAAACAGTCATGCATCATTTGATTGTCCTTGTCCTTTTTAAGCAAAAAGTCACTCCAGGCAGGTGAACTGGTGTATTATTCAGAAGGAGTTATCTGATAAGTGCTGCTATGTTGCTGCCTGAAGTGTCTTTAATGAGGCAAAAGTCTGAAGTGTTTTCCTCCAACTAAGTTCTGCCAGGATGCATGTCTGATCTTTGACTCTGACTCATTGATTAGTTATTCATAAAGCTATTCATGAGTTATTCATGAAGAGGGAGTCAAAGTGAAAGTCTCCATTTCAGCTCATTTCAATTAGAGGACAGCTCCCAGTCGATAAACACGATGGAAGCAGCTCTCCCATGCAGCAACAGCTGGCTGGAGATGTCAAAGACTTCCCATTGAGAGGAGAGCTCAGACGCAGATAGATTCACTTTTGTCTGGCCACGGTCTGTCAGCACAACAGCTCTCAGCGTCGGTCCGATGGTCTTAACCTTTTTTCCATCAGATAGGAGTGGTGGAGAGAGTGTATAATGGCCCCACTCTGATCTGTGACTGTCCTCTGAAAGCTTCACTGCCAGCGGACGCGATCGAGCGAGCCCAGAGAAATCAGCGGCAGCTGTTATCACCGTCACATGTCTCAGCAGGATATCCTGTGGCCTGCTGAGGCTCAAAGTTGTATTGCTGGAGTAACTCACAAAGCCATATTGCACTCATATACGATGGGCCGAGCAGCTCGACACTTAACTCCAACGAAGGTCTATCGTGCGTCTTTCCTGTCAATCATTCCGATGCTAGAGTCTTGAAATGCTGCACGTACATATTGTAGAAACCAAGAGAATGCAGAGTATACTGGATATTTATTTCTTTGTGCCTACTTGTAAATAGGCTCATGAAGCACTTTAAAGAAAAAAAACTTTCATACAGTATCTTAAATTTAATGTAAATTGTGTCTTTTAAAGAAATTGTTTTACATTTTGGAAACTGTTATTCAGAAGCTAAGCAGCTTTATTTAGCTTGGCTTTAACCAATATGTTTATTAGGACAAGTGACAATATGAAAAATACAAAAACGGTAGTTTAAAAAAAAAAAAAAGATAATATTTAAAGTTGTTAGTGACTGTTTTGCAGATTATATTATAAAAAGATGGTTGAAGAATGCAGTCTGTCACAATTACTGCATTGAATTACCCTGGTGATTCAGTGTGTGGCTGGGTGCTGTTTCTCACCCTGTAGTAGAGATGCTGCAGCCACAGGGTCTTTGGAGTAGCCTCAGTGGGTCAGGGTATCTTTGGTTGCACGCTTTTCGTGTCTGCTGGATGAAGAGATCTTGCCTTACTGTACATTAACCTCCCAGGCTGATCTCTGCAGGAGCTTGGTTCTGAAGGGAACACTTTGATGATGCTTATGTGTCATTATCTGTGTGAGTGCTGCTAGCACAAGGCTGTCCAACCTTTTTTTTTTTTTTTTTTTTTTTTTTTCTCTTGAGAGCTCATTTGACAAAATGAAAGTGGCCACGAGCTACTCGTAGCACCAAGTTGTACATCACCAACAGCATATATAATTTTGGTCTTACTTTTATGGTCCTTTAATAATGTTACAGCTGCCGCATTCATCGCCTCTAATACAAACTTATCCCGCCATAGGCGAAGCTTCTGTTGCTGCGTTGGCCTCCTTTGTCGGTTTGTTAGACAGAGACTGTTGTCTTTTAAGCGTTGTTTTCAGCTCCTTTACCTTCTCTGTTCGTAGACGGCTACCAGCCGAGAATTCCCATGAAAAGCTGCTGTGGACTTGAAGGTGAAAGAGTCACCCTCCCTTAACCTGGATGCTGTAAATTAGTGGCACCAAATGGACCAATTCATGTGTTGACATCACTCTAATATGTCTTTACAGATCAACTGAGCTTTGTTTAAGTATTGCAGACTTTATGGCCCACAGAGTTTTATTGAAGACCCCGAGAAAAGCCTCAGTGACAAATACACCCCCTGTGTGTGTCTATGAGACAGGCATGTAGTAAAAACTCCATGTGGTGATTGTTACAAGGCATATAAAAACATTCATGTGGACACAGGAGGCCATACATTTTTGTTTTGGGCACATATGACATCTACAGTGTATAATCAGTTAAATTCTTGCGGGTACCTAGCAAGATAAGATAATCCTTTATTAGTCCCACAGTGGGGACATTTACAGGATTACAGCAGCATAGTGGATAGTGCAAACCAGAGACAAAGTAAAAATCCACAATAACTAAAATATAACTATAACTAAAACTAAAAGAATATGATATATACAGACAGAATAATTGTTGTATTGCACAGTGTATTCAATTCAATAGCAAATATAGTATTGTGTAAGCATTCATTTGTATGACATTATCCTTATGATGCATGTCAAGTTCAACAGAATATACTTTATGCTCCATATCTCATGTTATTACAGCTATGAAGTTTATATTGATAATGGCTCTGACTT